TTATATTTGAATTTTTATAAACTATATGACGTGTACTGCTTCGACACAGGGATCTTCACTGATCACTTAACTAGTGGTCCTGTGGTCACAAGCGTGCGTAGCTCTGCTGCATCGTATGTCTTTGTCATTTAGGCATTTACTCTGTCAGCGTTGACTTTCATTACGTTGTCACCTGTAAAAGATAGCTCAATGAAAACCGGTTTCTTTTGAGCCGTTATCTATCGACCGTCTTTCATCAACTCACTGAAGAGCTTTATGAATTGCAGTGGATAACCGTTAGACTGTAGCACGTCTAACAGCAGTTATTTCTCTGCTTGCAGTATGTCTGTGGTGCAATTCATACGAGCTCGGTGGAACAATGTTTGAAGTAAATAGCGCTTATGATGGATTGGTGAGAAACTATTAAATGTTAAGTATTGATCCGTCCCAGTCTCCTTCCGGTGCACTGATCCAGCCATCTACTCATCGTGTGAGCGGTATGTCTAAGTATGGAAGACAACTGTCGTGCCCTGTCTCACCTTCCACAGTAAAATTCTATTGTACACCATTGAGCTCTTTGGGTGCAAGTGTAGTGTTTCCATCTGAATACATGCTTGACAGTATATCACCAACATAGCGTTTATATAAACTTGCGGACTTGATGATGTTGTGTAGTTACTCTTCCTTGATATTGCCCTAATCTGTGACAGCTCACAAACGTGCCAAGCGGCACTGGACAGATTAGCATCAGCTGTCCATCACTTCGGGCTTTGCTTCGCACCCTTGAAGTGCAAAGCGTTCCTCCAAGGTTGGTCTGGACCGCCTTCTACGCTGACCGTTGGTGGGGACCACCTAGAAGTCGTTCTAAAATTCAAATACCTAAGAGGTTGTGTCAGCGCCCGTGGGATTGAAGATGAGATCACGAACCGTATAGCAAAAGCTCGGGGCGCTTTTGCTAACCTTCCCCACTTATGGCACCTGCGCGACACCACCCTTGCCCTGAAGGGCAGACTGTACAGTGTAGCGGTACGTTCGACCCCAATGTACGGTTGTGAAACCTGACCCCTTAGATCAACGGACACAAAGAGGATAGTTATTTGCGACCATCGGTGCCTCCGTAATATAGCGCACATCTGGTGGGAACACCGCGTGAGTAACGCGCGTGTTCGACGCCTTGTTTACGGCACGGGAGAAGGAAATGAACGGCTCAGCACCGTTATTTCACGCACCAGGCTCCGATGGCTCGGCCACGTGTTACGCATGCCAGCCCAACGACTCCCGCGACGTGCACTGTTTGCGCGCCGGGGGTGTGGATGGAAGAAGAGGAGGGGTGGTTAATCGATGATGTGGTCCAGAGGAATGAAGGTCCTCACTTCGTAGCTGCCCTCGGTTGGAGCCTCTCGGCTCCCTTGTTGGGGTCCGAAAGATGATGAACAGGTTTGGTTGGATATACCTGATGAGATGGCTAGGGGCCGACCTCAGTGACGCTTGTGCTGTGAGTTTCTTTGTCCCAACCCATCCCTCTTAGTCTCCAACTCCAAACACGATCTCACTACTTAGCCCTATATAACTTTTATGGTAATTTTTTGCTGTATGGTAGCCGGCTGGTAGCTTACCGGAACGATGCCCGTTCGTTACGGATAGCTCAGTCGGATTGCACCAGTTGCATTTTTTCTCCTTTTTTGTATTGCGGCACAGTATCTGAGGTGTTTTCCACCGCTAGATAATGAGTATGATGATGGTGATCCTCTTCAATGATGACCATGAATACTTTCGCCAGCAAGGGCTCCTTCCTTCAAACTTTGTTCCGTCGAGATCGTATGATTTGAACCACAGACATACTGCAATCAGAGAAATAACTGCTGTTAGACGTGCTACAGTCTAACGGTTATCCACTGCAATTTAGAAAGCTCTCCAGTGAGTCGATGAAAAACGGTCGATAGATAACGGCTCAAAAGAAACCGGTTTTCATTGAACTGTCTTTTACAGGTGACAACGTAATGAAAGGCAACTCTAAAAGAGTAAATGCCTAAATGACAACGACACGATGCAGCAGTGCTACGCATACTTGTGACCGCAGGACCACTGCTTAAGTGTTCAGTGAAGACCATGCGTCGAAGCAGTACACGTCATATAATTCATAAAAATTCAAATATAACTATGGTGACAGCTACATTGGACGTACTAGTCGGAATCTAGGTGTCCGAATAAATGAAGACATTCCAAAGTGGCTCCGCAAACGACGGGAATATGAGACGGTTGTGCTCCGTAGATTGAGAAGTAAGGTTGCCTTCGCCATTACAAGATATTTGATGAGCATCGGTCATTAGTCCTCATGTGCAGTCAACGGCCACACATACTCAAGCTACTCGATGCTATTGTTGTCGATCGGCAGCTCCGACCACTCTGTGTCCGAAAACAGCTAACAGTGACACTAAGCCTACCGTGGTAGCGTGCACCGCACCAATCGGAAAACATTTGGTCAATAACTGATTTCATGTGACATTACTTTGCATCCCTTGTTAGTTTCATGTACTTGACCGATGAGTATGGGCGAAATAACACTTCATGCTAGAATCTTCGTCTTCTTGCATGTATATTTGGAATTATGAAGGAAAATTAGTGTTTCAAATTCCACAGAAGAGTTAAAAGTATAGAAAAAACTTGCTAGCTAGACTTAAACAATACAACATCTTATTGTTATCAAAGATTTCGTTATGCATCGTAGTGCGTTAGGACTTTGTGGGAGATCAAGGGATTGAACGACCACGAGATGCGCCAGGACGACGTCGATGAGGCCTGGAATTGGTCGGTGAGGAACGCGCTGCCATTCAATGTGGACAGGTGCCGAGTTGTTTACAACGACCACCAACATGCCTACACCTACAGGCTCGGGGTGCATGGTCTGGACACCACCACTTAGGTTGGTGACCTCATTGTGCTGGTACAGGATATCCTCCGTTGTTCCAGGCAGTCAGCGTCAGCTACAAAAAGAGGTAACCAGAACATTGGCCTCTTGCGTAAGTCACTCGAGATTTTGTATTCATCTATCTTCTTTCTGATACTCAAAAGCTTATGTGCATCCCAACGTCAAACACACAATCCAGACTTAGCAACTCTGAGTAACGCGTGACCTTGCGGCAGTCGATAATCCACAAGGTCGAGCAACGAAAAGATGTCAAAGCTTTGCGTTACTGTGCGTACCAGGAACTGTGAAAAGTTTATATTAGCATATTAAATACCGGAAGAACACAGTTTTGTGTATCAACACCTTCTGAGACTCATCCCAACCACCAACCTGAGAAGCAATAGCTTGAAATTAGGTCAACAAGTGAGTCGTCTAGATTGTCGACCAACTTATTTCTTCCTCTACCAACTCTGGAACAACATGCTGCATTTCCGAATTGGTACTTGATATACCTGGCTTGGAATCTGATTGCGATGAACAAAACAAAATTATACCCTCCATCGAAAAGCGGACAACGAATGCACATAGAAAGTTTTGGCTAGTCGGTTAACTGAGTGTATAATCTGAATGCATCAGTGTAAACTGTCGACCACCAGAGTCATCAAACTTACAGGTTTCCGTTCACTCTCATCTAAGGTTATTTAATGAAGAGTTCGCTCACCAAGTACCACGAGACAGGTATTGAGGTGATACCTTCGTGAATGTTACTGGGTGTAAAAATTATGCGGACAACATCTTGCTCCCGACAAGTCACGTCAGACTGAGACAAGACATGACTTTTATGCACACATGAGGGAGCCAACAAAGTTGGCAGTGGTCGCCGTTTTCCACTTTCAAGGAATTCCGGACAGACACGCTTTCGTTGATACGTTACGGACCTATTGTTTTACTTACGTTCTGTTTTTCTTACGATCAGTACCCCCGCTGAAAATTCCTCCATCACGGGTGCGTAAAAGCGCATTTTTGACCTGACCAGGCGGTACAGTAAAAGCCGACAGCAAGCTCTGAAATAGATCCATCATTTAGTAGGCGCTCCACACTTTCAAAGTGAAGTGTTGATGCAAGACTATCCTTTTCTTTGTATCCGCTGGCACTTGGTGGCGAAAGATTGGATATGGAGGATCATTTCAACTATGTAATCAGTTACACTGATAAAAACGGACTCACGAAAGCCGGAATAACGTTCATGAATCCGACACAACTACAGCGTTGAAGGTAGTGTCAGCGGGATCATAATTGGATCTGGTATCCTCCGTATGGGTGAGGTTGGTCCACCTACCTGAGGGCCAGAAACATTTTCGTATCGTTGATTACAGCTGTTTATGCAGTATCCTTGTGTCGGGTGGCATCAGGGTGGCCGCAACGATAGGGTTCGCATGCCAGGGTTACACAGTGGTGTTCAGATGAATTAGTTCAACGCATGTTACTAAGTAGTCTATATCAGGAATGCTAGCTCCCGTATAAGCAACTGAGGTGATTTCTGCTGGATCTATGACAGTACACTGCTCGAGTAGATCGTTGACTAGTAAACAGAAAATGAATTTATTGATCGGTAATCGCATTACATTTGGTCTACTTTGCCTTTCGGACTTGGATCCATACGGACCACCTTCTTCTCAGCCTGACGTCAAAATGGAAATGGCAGGAATTTCTCAGCAGTGGATCGTATGCCTTCACCTCCCCCGGAATCCTTATCTGAAGTATCTGTGATGCTACGAGATAAGATGGATTAATACAGAGGACAGTGATAGCCGCAAGAAAGCTGCCACTTCGACACCACCCTGTAAGTAAACATTGGTCACCTGCTTTTGATCTTGGGTTGTTGACAAGTTGTTGGCACCTTGACTCTGAATGTTTGCTTAGGACATTCAGGTTCCACACTAAGCTCACCAAATCCCCTTCCATTGTTTCACATTAGCATTGTCATTAGGGTTGCAAGGCAATAAATTCTCAGTACAAACTGCTGATGAACTGATGTCGTTGATAAACGACCACGTAGACAAACCCAACCGAAATATTAGAAAACCGGGTGAGGCTCCGTTTCGCATAAAAATTAGTAAAATAGAACGGCAGTGAATGGCTAAGAAATCACATGACATACAAAAACTGGGTCTTTAGCTATATATGTTCAAAATGATGGGAATTCAGCGAAAAATGACCAAAACGCAACTCACCTGGCCACGGCAACGAATCGAGATTGTTGGGAACTCAGTCACATTCGCCAGTTCCGGTAGCCAACCGTAGACCTGGGAGAGGAACCAAAGGAAAGTGATTATATTGATATGGTGGATTTATAGTACTTGATCACGTACAAAGTGAGAGCATGGCCAAATCAGGCGAAGAAGCTGCAGTTCTTTGGTGATCATGACGATAACCATCAAGCACTATGTGTCGAGTTCCATCCCTAGCGCTGGTTATATTTATCTGGTGAGTCCAAACCAGGACGAAACCGTCGATGGTGGAGTGCAGGGATGGGAGAGAGACACATCGAAACATTCCAACCCGAAATCCTAGCCAAACGAGTTCCAAGACAAGTTCCGTTCGAACGCATGTGGATGTCAGACACCCAGTTAATACAATTCGCTGTCTAAGTGCACAGCAGTAAGCTCACGTGGCAATGGCTTCGTGTGGAGATGAAAAGATTTGCACAGACACAACCGTCCGCATATCACGTTGGAGTAAGGCTTGCTCGTTTAAAGTAGACTTCAGTTATATGACTCGTGGAGTATTCTATGAATCGTGTTCAAGTAAAGAAATAAACGAATAATATATTCCTCGATAGTGCGCGGCACAGTCCAACTGACTGGCCTAATCAAAATTTACAGTGGGATTGCATAAAACAAGTAATCGTTCGGATTTTTGGTGTCAATGACAAGTATTACTAAGCTTAAGCAAATTGTGAACAATTCCAAATGCAGGTATAGCCAGATATGCAAATTAAGTACTGCGGGCAGCCGTGGACCCGTTCCCATGCAGGGTATTCGCTGGAAAGTTTTCACCCGCATTCCCACACTCCATCCGACTTTGTGCCGATGTGGCATACTAGCAAGTAAGCCATCACGATCTAATTAACTCATTTTTACGGCTGCTGTCAAATGCACACAGTTTGGGCGATCAATCCACCCAGCACGCTCCATCATTGGGTTCTTTCGAGCGTGGCACTTTTTATACTCCAGTGAGTCAATTTTTAATGGTTTTGAACTACTCAAGTATCCGGGAAGGGACAGGGGGTGACAAGACGAATGGATTAGTCTAGACTGCCCGCAGCTCTGCGGAGCCAAATCATGATTACCAGATACTGAAAGAGTGCCACGGTTGACATCTATCATACGTGTCGTCCTTAGGTTGTGAAGGGACAAAAATTCCACCCACTTTCATTCCCGAATTATGCCTATTACCTCATTGAATCTAGCTGATGTTAAACGACCAACCGCAATGAAACGAAAGAACAGCCTATTGACTGTCTTTCAAAGGTCAAGAGGATCATAGTAGCATTGGGAAGACTATGTGACGAGCATGAGAGATAGGACAGTGTACATGATTTTCACACTTTTTGCACTCTAATCCCAAAGTAAGCAGGCGGTAGGAGCATTCATTCTAGATAAGCTCAATGTGCAAAAGAGGTCTTAACGGATTCGGGATATTAAAAGAGAGCTTCACAGTAACACTACCAAAGCTAAAACACACGGTGTGCAGAAATTTATATGGGCTCTGTGGTGCATAAACCCCATCATCAGCCCAATGTTTGCATTCCCAGCATTGACTGTCCACACGTATGCGCTTGTAGGTCTGTCTATCGCTCACCCACCTAGTAGCGTGTTGCTCATAGCTACATGATTGCCACAACACACAACACGTGCCATTTGCTGGACGTGTTCCACTACTTTTGCGTCGTTACGGCTACGAGCCATTATTACATCCGCAAACCTTGCGTTGGTACCGCACGCGTGGACTTTAACAGGCACAATTAAAGGTCTTCTACCACTGAGTCTGAATTTAACAGGCCAATTGACCAGGTCGAGTTGATTGCTGTTGATAGCAGCGAGATGCAAGGTCTTGGTAGTAGCCATTCAGTATGGCACAAATGCGCTGGCAATCATGATGGTTAATTGTAAATCGAAAATTTCTATAATGCTAGTATTCTATGCAGCGGAATATATGGCACTCTACTTAAACCATGGAAAACTGTCTTTTAAGTACTGTGTGATTGCAGGCAAACGCTCTCCCACTTTCAAAAGGTACTTTGGTCACACAGGCTATTTTGATTCACACAAACCGTTCATAATGGTTCATGGTGGATACATAGCAAAAGAGAGATTCATCGAAATGCCTGTACGCAGCAGAGCAACTCAGTCATACACCCAAAAACAAGTACCATTATGTTGGGTAGTACAACGTCCTTATCCCAAGTAGTCGGATGCCAACAACGATTACAAATGAAGGATTTTTGTATAACCCACTTGAGGGTCCAGAAATGTGCCGAATTATAACATTTTAACAGTTATGAATATTATCAAAGGGTTGATCATAGAACGAGCTGCAGTTTTTCAAAAACGCTGAAAGATAAACGACAGAAAATAGGCTAGCCTGTCATTGCCAACCATTGTGGCAGTTTGGGGCATACCGGTAACTTTATGATATTCAATTTGGTTGGAACATGCAGTAATACTTCCACGTAGGTACGGATGGCATTTAATGACATCGGATCGTAAGTAAGGTTGGTATAATGGTAGATTGTTAATACATACTGTCCGATCTGCACCAAAAGGTCTACTGCCTTACGTCAAACATTGATTCATGCCAGCAATGCATATTTAGATATGACAGATTTTGAATAAAACAATCGTCGGACACATGCTATTTAATTATTGTGATTGTTCATGTTGCAATCGGGAACTAATAGTATGGACACATTTCGAGAATCCATGTATTTGACCAAGTTGGGTAACCGGCCTGAAGTTGGACAACCGTACTGAGTCAGCCTATGATGTCAAATACTAAAGCTGCTCTGACCATGACGGAGTGTCTAATACGGTGACCGATAGTAGTTGATCGATTAACACTATTATCAGCTTCCCGCGAAGAAAAGTTTTAATGGCATGATATTCTTGACGGTCTTCTGACACTTCGACTGTTGCAACTACAAGGGAATTGGAGTTGTTGCTGTCCCTTATTTGGAGCTCGGAATATTTGCTGTGCGCCATCGTTGGTTGCTGCGTCAACTGAAGGCTCTTCGGCATTCTGGCACGTGTCGACTGGAGAAGCCTGAGGATGACGATTTTATATATATATATATATATATATATATATATATATATATATATATATATATATATATATATATATATATATGACACGCGTGATCAATTCTACACTGAGCTATCCTCCGTGATACGGTCTGTGCCGAGGAGCGACCGACTATTTCTGCTGGGTGATTTCAACGCGCACATTGGGCGTGATGCATCGGTGTGGACAGATGTTTTCGGTCCGCATGGCACTGGTTCAGGGAATGCGAACGGTGACAGGCTGCTCTCACTGTGTGCCACACACGGCCTGACGATCACGAACACTCGGTTTGTACTGAGTGCGAGTGATATAGCAACTTGGACGCACCCACGGAGTGGTCACGCTCGCCTGCTCTAATATGTCATCATATGTTAGCGTGATATACGTGAAGTGCGCATGACATGTATACTGCGTGGAGCTGAGTGTGGCACTAGTCACAAACTGGTGAGGGCCAAACTGTACATATATTCTCGTAAATCTATGCATTGCACTCTCGCCGTGAATCGGCGTAAATTTAACCTTCTCTCCCTCGGTACTGTGGAGAAGCGTATTGAGCTGGAGAAGGCGATGATGTGGTATGTATAACCACAGTGGGCGACCTGTGGCACCACATTCGCGACCAGCTGACAGCTACTTCCAAATGGACCATCGGGCGTGTAAACAGTAAACGACCGGATTGGGTTGATGAGAACAATGCGACGATGGGCGCATTGTTGTCAGAGAAGAATGCAGCATTTGCTGCACATGCCGCAGACCCCAGTGACTTGAGAAGAGTAGTCAGTTACGCAAACTTCCACGGTGACTGACCCGAGAGCTCCGTCACATTAAAAATGCATGGTGGACCGAAAAGGCAAAGCAGATGGAATGCTACGCCGAACGTCGCCAACACAAGGAATTCTTCGAATCCTTGAAGGTGGTGTATGGGCCGAGATTGGAGCCGCTGAGGACGCTAATCGATGGTAGTTCAGGCGCTACCTGAACACAGACTGCAGACATAATGCAGGTCTGGCGGAAACACTTTGACTCTCTCTTAAACAACCGTTCAGTAATCGACTGGCCTACATTGAACTACCTGAAGCAACACGATGTGAAGGCGAGTCTGGTGGACACGCTGACACTGGATGAGACGCAAAGAGCACTTGCTCAGCTGCGAAACGGCGTGCCGATGTTGAGGGGATCCAGCCTGAAGTATTGAAAAACGGCGGACTTACGTTGTTTACTGCGCTGCACCACTTGGTGCAACGCGTATGGATTGAGGAGGAGGTGCCTCATGAGCTGAAGGATGCCCTTACGCTACCACTGTACAAGGGTAAAGGGAGCAAGCAATGTTGCACGAATTATCGTGCCATCAAATTGCTGAGTTGTGTGAGCAAGGTGATTGCCCGAATACTGCTCAACCGCCTCGTCAGTCAGGTTGTGAATGCAAAGGTGGCTGAAGAGCAATTTGGATTCCGTTCGCGTCGCATTACTATAGATATGGTGTTTTCGGATCATCAGTTGCAGGAGAAGTGTAGAGAACGACACCAGCCATTGTACTCGCTTTGTGTTGATTTCACCAAGGCATTTGGTACAGTGAGCTGCGAGGCATTGTGGCTGGTGTTGGGTAAGTTTGGTTGCTCGCGTAAGTTTGTAAGTTTAATTGCATTTCTGCACAGTGGTATGCGAACGAGGGGGCAACAGAGTGGACAGACCTCGGAAGTCTTTGCAGTTGTCTCTGGTGTGAAGCAAGGCTGTGTCTTATCTCCTGCCCTGTTTACTATATATCTTCATGCAATGTTGTCTTGTGCTTTTGATGCGGCTTGTGCTTACGGTGTTCGTGTGGAGCACCGTATTGATGGTGGGTTGCTGAACATCCGTCGTTTCGGTGCGAGAACTCTAGTCTGTGAGACAACTATCCGTATGTTGCTGTTTGCTGACGACTGTGCGTTGTTTGCACACAGCGCGGATGAGTTGCAGCACA